AAAAAAAAAAAAAAAAAAAAAAAAAAAAAAAAAAATATATATATATATATATATATATATATATATATATATATATATATATTTAAAGTTACAAATTGCAGCTTTAATGCCACTTATGTCACTCATATCATCATCAAATTCATATATTAAATTATTATTTGATGTATAAATTACAGGGTTTCCCACAGTGCATCATAAGCCTGGCGGGCCACCAGGCTTTACTTGTGCCCTACCAGGCTCAGCATTGTTTGCTTATTTAAGTTTTTTTTTTGTTAATGTCTTTTTTAAGAGTTTATAGTTATATTTGGTGTTTAGGTATTAATCTTCCAGTCTTCCAATAACGCATAACTATCAAGTGATATTTTCAAATTTACTGTCAAAAACATGGATGAATGACTGCCCAAGCACCAACCACGGGCTTAGCAAGTTTCTGGGGGAAACCCCAAATTATTTCTAATTTATACATCATATGTGTTTGTATACTGTTCAATTATTAATAAAATTATATTTATAATAAAATTATATTCAGTAATTCTATTAAGATATTGTTACAAAAGGTAATTATAATTAATTTGAGTTGAGGATATTTTGCAGTATTGTGAAACCCCTTGGTCAAATGTCCCGTTTTCTGCATTAAAAGACAAAGTTTTGGTAAAATTCAGTTCAGGCAGAGGTGAGAGAGACGGAGCGAGTCATCCATGGTCCAGCCAGTCAGACTCACCGGTGGCCTGTGACCTATCAGGGGCAGAATCTGGTGTTGAAGCCCCGCCCTCAGACTTGGGGCTTTCACACCTGAGCAGGTAAACCAAACGACAGTATTAGGCTCAAGAAGGTCAGGGGTAATTTCTGGTTCTGTTGCTTCTGTGTGTGTGTACTGACGCTAATGTAGGCGGCCTCTCTGGACGCCGTGGGGGATGGGAGCAAGAGGAGGAGCTTGACTTTGGGGGGAGGGGTTTCTTGGGAAGGTGAGCTGGGAGGGAGGGCTTAGCTATTTCTCCAATCTTCATCTCTTCACCTAAACACACGAGAAATTATAGAGGCTAAAGGTAAACAATCACCACCAAGTGAAGAGAACGTCAATACTGCAACTATGAGCTGAAGTTGATCTTTGAAGGTGAATTACAATAAAAGTGAAAAGGTAAAAAAGGTGCCAGAAGCTGCAGGAGTAAAAGGCAAAACAGCAACAGAAAACAGTACACTGCAAAAACACAAAAAGTATTTCCGGTCAAATTTCTAATGCAAACATGTTAATACACTTCAAACAAGACAAACTAGCTTACAAGTAACTTTTCAGCAATATATAGAAGCTTGTTTTAAGTAATTCCTCAATATTCATGGGAGATTATTTCACTTAGAACATGGGAAAAATGTCATGTTATAAGTGAAATAATCTGAGAACGGAACAAGAACTTTTTCATCAATTTTAAGTAATTACTGACTCAAAACAAGCTCTTACATCTTGCTGAAAAGTTATCTGTAGGTTAGTTTTGTCATATCAAGTGTAGAAAGATATTTGCAGTATAAACGAAACCAAAAATACTTGCAGTTTTTGTTCTTGCAGTGAGAGGATTAAGAAAAGGGAAAAAGGTGGGAGCAGCAGATGTTCTGAGATGTTATCAGTCCAACCACAAACCAAGAGATCCGTTCTAATACAGCTTAGTGAGCCGATCCCAGACGTGGATCTTTCATCAGATTTCTCTTATAAGTTTTTGCAGATTGTGCCAACTCAAATTAAATACTTTTTAGGACATTATAACGACCATTTTGAATTAAATTTAATGTGTATCACAGCAGAAATGTACAAAATAAACAGCTAAAAGCCTGTAGAGTCTCACTTTTCTGTACATAAAAAATTAGCATCATTATAAACCAGGAAAGACACAAAAAAGCTACCTACCCAGCTAGTTAGCATGCTTTTGTTTTAGCTAGCTAGCTTTCTTTTTCTTTTTAGCCAACTTGCTTTTCTTAGCTAACTGGATAGTTTTTCTTCTGTTTCTGCTGCAGCAACCAGATTAAATTGTTCCTGCTAATATAGCTGCTAATATACTTTTGGTAGTTAGCAAGAATATATTAGCAGCTAGCTAATTAGCGGTAGCCTTAACCACCTTGAGTCACAGGAAAAAAATGAAGAAACATTTGCCAGAAAGAAAAGTTCCACAAGAAAAGCAGACTAGGTAGAATATATGAGATTAAATAGTCCTGCCACCACAAACTTTAAGACCTATTTAAGGCCATCTTACCATTTTTAAATGAATTCAAGACATTTTAAGGTCATAATTTTTTGATTCAAGAATTTAAGACTTAAGGATGTGCAGACATTTTTAATTCATGATCACAGAAAAGAAGGACCCTCCAGAGTTTCAAATTTACAATATAGTAGATTAATTCAACAAGGTTTGAAGAAAGGGTCATATTCTCCAGCATATGTGAGATTATTTTAGGGACTAAATTCCACTAGAATTTCCAAAATGCTAATTTCTATCCTCTACCCTATTTAAATACAGACAGTATTATTATTAATCTGATTACCTTCTTATTGCTGTGCTCCATCACCGTCCAATCATCAAAAAGAAAAACGGACTTAATTTTCACACCTTATTTAAGTGAATGTAAGCATAGTGCTTCAAATACATATTTCCCCCCGTTATGATTCTCTGTTATAGTTATTCAACCACAGTACTTCCCACTGGTGCTACATCTGACACAATATGAGAAATGTCTTATGCTTAATGTACCTGTGAGATGTTTCTGCATCAGTTTCAGCTGTGGAGGAGGAAATGCCGCAAGTTTCTGATGCATGAGGCGATGCATTTGGAAGGGATTTCTGTGCAGAATGAGTTGTGCTCGCCGCTAAGAGTGAGCATCCTGTTCAATAATCTAGCCTGGCACATTACTTCATAAGGATGGTTCAGTAAGTGCTCTCAGAAGGAGTAGGAACAAATGAAATCCAATTACATCTGGATTCTTAGCCTGTTCTTTTTTATGTGTTAAAATTTGATTATATCCACCATAAACAGCTGCTTTATGTTACTTCCTTTCTTCCTTCCTTCCTGCCTGCTTACTAAAAACACTGGAGTTCTAACTTTGAAAACCTGAAAGCTTTATTTAGCACTGCAGATGCAGCCTGAAAAAAACAACACAACTTTCTCTAGTATCCTAGCAACCAGAGCTGCTGAACTTTGGCGCAATATGGAGAAGTGTGCGCTTTTCCTCAGCTTGGAGCCCTAGTGATATACAATGATTACTATGTGAAAATTATGTCACAAATAACCAAGAGTTCACTTCCATGATTTAGATTCTGCAAGACATAACATTTTTAAAAACATTTTAATTCAGTTTTTGTCTTCATAAAGATATATTTTTATTATTTCTACCAGTGAGAAACTGACTCAGAGTTGACCTGTGAAGGAAAAGCTACTGTATTCTTGGCGTGTTTAACACCAGACTTTCTTGTTTCATTTTTAGAAGATTTATTAAAAGACAAAGTCAATAGTTCCCTGACAATCTTTTACAGTTTATCGTTGGACTTTGACTGCTTCCTCTTTCTGTTCAGTGCTCGTATTTGAGCACGACAGCATAAGGTCAAGTGCGTTTTTTAAAAAAATAGCAACCATACAACTTTTTATAATCTATATTTCTATCTTTATTAATTTATGGTTTTCCTTTTTTATTTTTAAATTTGTCCTGATGATGAAAATCACATAAAAATAACTGCTTTGTTTTCTTTTCAAGGTTTTCTCCAAGTTTTCATTATATTTAACAGTTTAAAGACCTTTTTACAGCAGCTGTAAGTTATTCATAAACATTACCTTTAATTGCTTTAATAACTTTACTTAAAAAATAGCTTATGTAAGTTAAATATAAATTTGTCAGCTTAATCTGAGGTTATCCAGCTTCGAAGTGTGACACAATAACCTTTCTAACAGTCACTAACTGTTAATGTTGAAACCTCCGTTTTTAAGGAAGTGTTTATTAAATGAACACTTTGCTATGAAGAAGCAAGTAACAAACAATCTAACAAGAATATTTGAATTTTAATTGCCTAAACATACAGTTAAAAAGCTTAAACCGTAGTTTTGTTTCGCAGTCTTGCAAGAAAAGCTGAAGTTAATGGTTGCTTGATTTGTGGGATTTACAGTTTTGTCACAGGTAAAACTACAAATCATAAAAACAAACAAAAACCGCCAGATCAGTTGTGAAAAGAAAATCTAAAATAAAGCACAGACATTACTACACTGCAAAAACACAAATTCTTACCAAGTCCAGTTTCGAGTGCAAATATCTTTCTACACTTGAAAGAAAACAAAAAGTACTTAAAATAAACTTTTTCAGGAAGAAATAGGAGCTTGTTTAAACTAAATAATTCCTTAATATTGATGGAAAAGCATGAGTTCCACTGAAAGACTACTTCACTCACAGCAACATGAACTCTTACCAAGTATTTTTATCGTTTCTAAAGCAAATATCTTAGTGAACTTGAAATAAGACAAAAAATAACCCATAAGCAACTTTTCTGCAAGCTATTGGAACTTATTTTAAGTTATAATTCTTTAATATTGAGTGAAAATGTACTAGTTTCACTACTAGATTGTTTAATAAAATTTATGGAATTATAACTTAAAACAAGCTCTTATATCTTGCTGAAAAGTTACTTATGAATTATTTTTGTTTCATTTCAACTTTACTAAAGTTTTTGCACTAGAAACTGGATAAAAACTACTTGGTAAGATTTGTGTTTTTTGCACACAAATCTTACCAAGTCCAGTTTCGAGTGCAAATATCTTTCTACACTTGAAAGAAAACAAAAAGAAACTTAAATTACAGTTTCTTAACAGTAATTTAAGAAACTGTTGTTGCATTTGAGCGTTTTGCAGATTTTTTTTTGTATGGCAGCAACATTGTGGTGAAAAGTGGAAGCATCTGTCTTGCACCAGCAGTACTGATGGTACCAGTTTGACAAGCATCAAACCACAGAGCCTGCAGCTTCCTGTTGAGCGCAGACAGATGCTGATTAGTTTTCTCAATCAGAGCTCTGTCACTCTGCACAAGGACGGAGGAAACAAGCTGGAAGGGAAATTTTAGCGGGAAAATTAGTCTCAGTTTGATTTGAAAGAGGTCAGTAGGAAGTTTGAAAGAGCAGGAGGAAGCTGAGGTGAAAGTGGGCCGGCGTGGGTCAAAGCAGACCAGGTTTTACCTCGATCCGGGTCTCTTTGAGGCAGATGCTCAGGCCGCTCAGGAGGAACCTTCTTCGCTTCTGATTTTTTCTCTACAGGTTTAAAGTTTACAGCTTTGACTTCAACCACACAATAAACAGATAAAAGCAAAACTGAGATATTAACCTGCGGCGTGTTTGGCTGATGGAGCGCTGGGCGGCGGCGGTTTCTTTGGTCTCTGGAGAATAGATTTAAGTGGGTAAGTTTAGAGATAAGCAGTTTTGCTGCTTTGTTTTTTAAATAAATGTCACAATCACCTCTTTCTCAACTTCAAGCAGTTTGACGAAGTTATCTGGGAAGACGCCTTGCCTTCCACCGATCTCCCCCATCCACCAACCTGCATCGGCACATTCCTGAAAACGAAAATATTATTATTATTATTATTGACAACCAGGAGCGGGCATTTATCGTATCGTTTACCGTGAAACTTCTTACCATGCTAAGAATTTAGATTTATCATTGTCATGATGAATTCCAATTAATGTTTGAAAAATCCCAAAACTATCCTTATCGTTTACTGATTTCTCCACCGTTTGTTCAATGAAAGCATCAATAAATACCAATACATTTGAAAATATGATTGAATACAGTTACAATGTGCAGTTTACTGATGCAAATCACACTTTTCAATGGCACTGCACTGAAAAAACACAACATTTTACCAAGTTTTTTTGGTGTAATTTCTAGTGCAAATACCTTAGCACACTTGAAATAAGACAAAAGTAACTTTTCAGCAAGATATAAGAGCTTATTTTAAGTCAGTAATTTTTTTATATTGATAAAAAAAGTACTTGTTCAACTGGCAAATTATTTCACTTATACCATGGGAAAAATTTTTGTTATAAGTGAAATAATCTGCCAGTGGAAACAGTATTTGCTCCTATAAAACAAGCTCCTATATTCCTGAAAAGTTACATATAAGTTACTTTTTCTTATTTCAAGTCTACTAAGGTATTTGCAGTGGAAACTATACCAAATATACTTGGTAAGATTTTGTAACTTTGCAGTGTAGTGTCCTAAAGAAGCATATTACAATTGGGAACGTTTTTCAGGAGCAGTATTTGTGTTTGTGAAACATAGTCGCAATAGATCTTATATCGTAATAAATGTCCATATCGCCCAAGCCTACCTCCAACTGTAAAAACAGAAGCTGCCCTCACCTTTGTGATAATATTGATGATGTCCCCCTCTTTCAGCGTCAGCTCGTCTTCATTTTGTGCTTCGTACGGGAAAAGGACCTTACACTGCTCCCGCACTGGCAGCCAATGAAAACAAGCATAAATAAATCAACGGTTAGTAAATAATAAATCCTCTGGAGTCGTGTTAGAAAGTTGCACATCCTCAAAGATTCACTCGTCTTTTCCAGCGTCCATTGTACTGCGGTAAAACCAGAGGAGCAAATGTGCTGGAACTCCACCTGGGTTGCTAGGCGATGGGCAGAGTTCCATTGGGGTTGCTAGGCAACGGTCAGTGCCTTCTCGTTTGCAACATTGCATTCCGGAGGTTTTCGGAGCGGCTTATTCCAGACACCAAAAAACATTAACTTACTGCCAAAAAACAGTTTGTTGGTTTTTGTTAAGTGCTTGTGCTGTTTTTTAGAAGCAGTTGAGACTCAAATGGAAATACAAAATGTTCAAAATATGAATTTTGCGCATTATTTCCTCTTTAACAGTTCACTCAATTTCCATGAGACATTTCTATATCTAGATTTGAGGAGACTGTATTCAGCTCCCTGATTTTGGAAAATATTAATACTCTGTTCCTGTTTTTCTTTTCTTATACAATGCTTTGCTATCCACATTGAAAATCTAGAATGCCGGTCCTTTCCACAAGCAAAACACCAACAACGTTAGAGGTGATGACGATAAGAAACAATAGTCTATTAGAATGAAAGGAAACCTGCACTACAAATAAAGGAAGCGATAAGGAAATGTATTAAAAGTTAAAAGGATTTAATATGAGCCAAGTTTGAGAAATTTAGGAGAATAGTTTCTTGTAACAGAAAGTTCTCACCTTTAGCTTTGCCGTCAGGTTCGGTCTTCATGGTTTCAGCTGCTACGCTCACGCCTTTCCCTTCGTTGACCTGAAGAACAGAAAGATGACAGGAAACCTTTAGTTTCCAACAAACCCAGACATAACAGGCTGAAGTGGTTTGAGACTTCCTGTGCTTGTTGCAGTACCCAGTCTGCAGAATGTGTTGTTAGTGTTGTGGTGCGCAAACAAGGCACCAGTGATTCGGCAAGAATTGACCTACAGTCCATTTCTCCTCACCAGCAACAGCAAAAGTAATTATAAATCTGTGGCAGACCTACCTGAGTAAATAAATACATCATGAAATCATTAATTAAATGTACCAGTAGGGCTGCATTCTAACAATTATTGTGGTTGTTGATTATTTCATCAATTATTCTGATAATTAATCAGATAAAGAATTAGCACATTCTGCATATTTTTCATTTATACATTTATAAATGCAATAAATAATTCAACTCCTTTGTTAAATACGACATTTTATTATTTAAAATGCAAGAACAAAGCATTCTTTTCGTGAATGCTTGATCATTTGTAATAATAGCTAAAAAACTAATGCTAACATCAACATGTGAGAAGAATACAGTGTATGGCCGGTCTGTTGATTTGGATTACCTGATCAATAAATAGATAGAAAATTTTGTATAACTGAAGCATAACCCGATCAACAGAATATCAGTTAAATTAATATAAATATGGTACTTTAGACTATGAGTAACATTAATGTTCATATTAGCATACAACATTTTTACAACATGTTTATTTGGCTAACAAAAAGGCAGAACAGTACTACTCTTCTAAGTAGCTAATTAAAAATAAATCTATTTAAAGTGATTTGCATAAAATGTGACTTTTCAGATTCACTAAATATTCAATAATGCCAGCGCTAATGTTAGCATGCTAATTAATTAGCTCAAGTGTAGCTACAGGTTCTTTGAAAGAAAGGAATGAAATAAGTTTAATGAGCACAAAATTATGGAATGTCAGATACAACAAATGTTTAACAAAATCAATTATTTTAATATAATTACTTTTTTAAATGACTACATCTCTAAAATATTGATATTAGACTACTAAGTATCAATATTTTATCCTTATATAGAACATAAGGATAAAATATATTTATACTTTTTCATTTTTTAACGAAAACGAAGGGTTTTGTCTTTTTATTTACGAAACCCTTAGCTTGAGAGTTGAGTTGATATAGAAGGGAATTTCAGATTTGGCAAGGGATTAAGAACAACAATGCTGTCATTAGCCTGCTAAATTTAACATAATATGGCATTTCAGAGCTAGCAAACGGTTAACAGCAACAATGCTTATGCTAACATTAGCTATTTAACCTCAGTTAAGAGTGTAATTATTCGTCCAGAAAAAGACAGAAGTAGATGCTTAACAATCAAACATCAATGTATCAATGCAGTATATGTCAATGCTAAAAACAAAATGCTATCTTTCCAAGACAACTAAAGCTAATCAATTAGCATGCTAATGACAGATTTATTTCTCTAATATGCTTAAAAACAACAAAAGTTGACTAATGTGTTTCACAATTTACACAAATCTAATAACATGGCACACAGTAGCACATGTGTAGTGTAATTTTCACACTTAGCAAATTAAAAACAACAAAGTTTAAGTTCGCATTGACATCATGGCTAAGAAATGAATGGCCACAGTGAAAATAACGGGTATTTTTCTTCCCAGAGTTGCAGAAAAACCCCATCAGATACATTTTAGTTCTGTAGATCTCCCTTCTTCCATCAAATTCCTGGGATTTTTACACATCGACTAATTTATGAAACAACTCCTATAAAGTGCGTCAAACTAATATTTGATATTCCTGATAAAGCAGAAGTTTCTGGATATCCGGAAACTTGTTTTCGCTCAATCTTCCAAGCAGATCCTCCACACTTCCTTAAAAGATATAAATACTAAAACGTACCTAAATATATTTAGTTTCTCCCATGAACACCCTTGCATCCTATGAATAGATTCAATGCAGAAACCAAGCAGCCGACTTGCTGACGAAGAGCGTTAAAGCCGCCGTTGTTCCCCAGCTGGAGTGGATCCCTCGGTGGTGTTTGTGGAACCAGGGTGGCTCTTCCCCAGGAAAACACACACATTCACAGCACGCAGTCTGTCTGAACACACACATGCCTCTGTTCTGCCCGACCTCTCCCTTCAACACTTCCTCCCTCCCTCCTCCTCTTCCTCATTCCCACCCTAATGAGACGCATGTGGAGGTGCGAACTGTGAGGCATCACTGCAGCAGAGAGGAGTCAACATCCACCTAACGCATACTGATGGCAGCCGAAACGCCGGCGCAGGATCGATGGGGACTTTTCAAGGCCAGGCAGGATGAGTGGGACGGCCCAGTTAAGCATTCACATTTCACCAGTAACATTTTTACACTTCTCACTGGTTCATAGGCTTCAAAATGTTTCAAGTCTTGTTAGCAAATATCTATAGATGTTTTTAGTCAGTTATTTTCTCTAAACATAAGAAGGCAAATTGTAGTTAATTAAAGTTAAGATCAAGAATAGAAGACAAAGTATATGGAAAAGATGTTTGTCATAAATGATGTAAACAAGCTTAAAAAATAGTTTAAAAAAAGATTTTTGGAAAGTGAAGTGTTTGAACAAAGTGATAGCAAAACTTAAAACAAAGGAGATAAACGAAGATCAGGCTGGATGGATGGATGGATGGATGACAGATGGATGTAGGAATGAACAGATGGATGGATGAAAACATGGATCGATGGATGAGCGAACGGATGTTGGTTGGATGGATAAAAAATGGATGGATGAACCAAAGAAAAGATGGATGAACACATGGCGGATGGATGAATGGATGGATGGATGACGGATGGATGGATGGATGGATGGATAGATGGATGGATGGATGACGGATGGATGGATGAACTTTCAGACAACTAGAAATAAAAGACGTGTGGAAATAAAATCCTTTCCTCTTCACTTCATTTTCTGTCGAGTTTCGTCAAGTGAAGCTCAAAGTGCTTTACACCATAAGAACAATTCAGTTACCAATTATGAAACTTTACATTTTGTCACAATACCATCAAAATCATCAATACCCATATTGATCAATGTTCCGGTTGTTAAGTTATATTTGGGTTTTTAGCCTTGATTTACAGGAACTCAGCGTTTCTTCTGTACATATTATTGTCCGCTTGTAAAAACGGGATTATTGTGTCAGATTCTGGACATGACATCCAGCAGCTTCTAAAATCTGACAGTTTGATGTTTGGGTCACCTTGGCAGCGTGACGGCAGGTTGCAGCCAATCGCTTCCTCTGCAGCGTAAACGATCTTCTGCAGATTGTGTTTGTCCTTGGCAGTGGCAGCAGACAGAGGATCTGACAGCAGAGGAGTTAAAGTAGGACACGGCTCTCAGCAGGTGGACCGTCTTTTATTGCTGCAGCAGGAAGGACGTCCTGCATTTTGCTTTCTTGAAGCAAGAAGTTTAGAGTAAAGTGTTTGTAACTTAGTTCCCACAAAGCAGAAGTGGGTTGAGGTGTAGATCCTTGAAGGTGATGGTGCAACGAGGGGCTGATGTTAAGAAATGCTTAAACCTTTAAGCATCAGCAAACAGCAGTGTTGAAGCTTGTAAGTTTAAACCAGTCTATTTTTAGCCATGACGTCTAAGACTCAAAGGTTCTACGACTCAAAAAGATTCTTCAGAAATGCTTATTTAACGGAGTCAGAGATAAACTGATCAACCTTTCAGGTTTGGTTGCATTAAAGGCGATCTATTATGATTAACAGGTTAGCATAATGGATCGTACATAGGCAATAAAAAACACGCTCATTACATTTTTTTGCACAAATTCAAGCTGAAGTCTGCCTAGTTTGAGCTGTTTTAGGGCCTCCTGTCACTTTAAATCCAAATAAGCTGCTGCTGGCCAAAGTCAAGCTAGCTAGCATAACTAAGCTACTTCCCTCCCCCTCACTATTTTATTTCTCAATTTAAACTTTTTCCTCACCTTGTTATTTAGGTGTCGTAGTGTTGTACATTAAGGATTTTGCACGTTGTATTGACAACTTGATAGCTAAAACCAATATTATTCACCGTCAGCGAGCAGTTTTTTTGTGTGACGTCACGCTGTATGGGGTTCATACGACCGTACATCTAGGAAAAGCATTAGAAGAGCCTTCAGCACAGCCAACAAGAATGTAGCAACAACAAAACACTCCAGCAGCCATACAACAGTGCATACAGTGGATAAAACCAGCTAACCAAACCTGCTGGAACTCGGCTTGGGTTGCTAGGTAACGGGGCTAGCTGATGTTGCTAGGTAACGGGCTGGAGTTGCTAGCTGAGTTACCTGTCGAATGTGACTCAAAAGTCAGGGAACATTAACAATGTTGCTACAATCCTGTTTTGTAGCAACTTTAACTAGTTGCTACAAAAAGTTTTATAAGCGCTTAGGCTGTTTTTAGAACCAGTAGAAACCCAAATGGAAGTATAAAAACCTAAAAAAAATGTGAATTTTGCATAACACATTCTGATTAAATGTATTTTTTTTTTCTGCTTTTGTGTGAAATCGTGCAAGTTTGCAGTCTTCCTTCAAACACATTGAAAGTACTTTGTAACCTCTTAACCTTTCCTTTATGTCTGTAGCCCTCAATGTCGCCTAAGCTAAACGGCTGTAGGAAGGAAAGTAGGTCACATTCAGAAGAATTTCAATGGGAAAGACTCTTCTCTCTGAAAATAGGATGCTGGCATAAATTAAGCTGCATTTGAATGAACCACCAGACCTCTGGAAACGATATAGATGGAGGGATGAAAACAAAATGAAGATGTTTGGAGAAAACAAACACAAACACTTCATTCTATTTGTGGAGTATAATGGTGGAGATTTGATGTTTTGAGTTTTGTTTTGTTGCCACAGCAGCTTTGCACCTTGCAGAGTTTGAGTCAACTTCCCTTTTGAGTCAGACGAGAGGGTCTCTGTGTCTATAAATGTACTTTTTCCCTTTAGCTGAGATAACATTTTATATTTTAGGACTTCTTGTAGTAATTCAATTTAAATGTATAAACCAATATAATTTAAAATGACTGCTGATCTTCTATCTGTTTCACTTAAAGACACAACAAGTGAATATCTAGTAAAATAAAGCACAATGATGAGAAAGTGCACAAATTAAATTGCATATGTCATAATTTCGATGCAGTTTTTCTATTTAAAAGTTTAGAGAAATATGAAAAAAATACAAGAAAGAAGAAGCGAGCACAAAGCAGGCCAGAATGCAGCCGAGTTGTTGAAATGAAGCATCAGTTCATAACATAATGTTCACCGAAAGACAAAATGTCAAAGTCTCCAGCTGAAATCTGAGTTTATAAAGTGAAATTTAATCTGGTTGTCTGACGGTGGTAGACTGGAGACCTAACAAACCGGCTCCACGGAGACATGCCTGTCACGCGGAAGGTGTGATACGTAACACTGTTTGGCAACATTCAGAGCTTCTGCTCCAGTTCTGACCAGCATTGTTACTGGTGTGAACAGTCATGCATCAACACTTTCCTCTGAGCAACAGCATCACTAGAGTAGCCTGCTTCATACGAGTCATGCTGTGACACTGCAAGTCTCCCTTTACTCCACATGACCAGGCTATGCTTCATTTATGACTTAGTTAAATGGCAGTAATGGAGCAATCAAACCGTTATTCTGACTCAATAAGTCCGTCTACACAACCGACGGTCCAGTAGACTTGGTTCGGTTTGGGACCAAAACTGAAACATTTGTTACATTATCAGCTGCTGTGTTTCAAACCAAATTCTTAGGAAAACCTGTTCCCCTCCTCGCCTGTAGGGGCGCTGCACCAAAAGCCACTGAAGGAAATAACACTGAGTGCAACTTCCTTCTTTATAAAATGTTAGCCAAAACTGAGTAGCGTCAGATTTTAGTGGTCGTAGGATTTCACTTTTGTTTTTGGTAAAAGACCATTAGCCATTTCTCCCACTAGCGCTAGGTACGCGTGTTTGCTTTGGTTGTTTCTACCCAGAATGCCCTGTGCTATGGTAAAAAAACAAACCTTGTGAAAGCGCTGTTAAGTGTGCTAATGGTGGAGAAACAACTAACCATAACAGGAAAACTGTTTATCCGCCATCATCTGTGGCTATGCTAACTAGCATTAGCTTTCACGTCCGACCCTGTTGATGAGGAGAAGCTTCATAATAGCAGAGCGCAATGAGGTTATGACTGTGGTCAAGTGGCACACACACGAGCAGATTGACAGCGCTAAGACCCTCCTCCTGGCTCTGACTGGTTGTTTCTACTTGGCACTGGGAGAAGTCAGAGGAGCTCAATTTTTTCAGATTATCTGTTTCATAATAAATTGCCATGACACGGTGACAGTTTCAACAAATATGTAAAAAATAAAAAATAAACAATTAATTGCCTCATCAGTTATTGCGATAAACGATAATATTGTTTCATTGAGACAATTTTCAAGTAATAAAATAGTAATGCAAGAACACGTTCTCAAAGATCAATAAACTTTAAATTTCAATCAAAATTTAAAGCTGGAACTGGAAGATATTTTAAATCTCCAAAATAAATAAACAAAACAACCAAAACAACAAATAAAATTAATTATAAAATCTCTCTAAACAAAATAGTCCTTAAAAAAAAAGCTAGTTGAGACCAAAACACCAAACTGAACTTCATCATCCAGTTTTTGGTAGAAACAGAGAAAAAGCTAAAAACAATAAATTATGCCAGTGGAAATTATTGATTTTAATTTATAATTTTTATTGCTAATTGCAAAAGGCCTAACACTGCAGCTTTAATAAATCACTTTTTAATCATGAAGACAGTCTGTGTCCTTCCTACAACCAAAGTCAACTGGATCCAGATGACAAATACTCACTTCCTGTTTTTTTTTAAAGTCTTGTTTCAAATTTGTCATCTGTTTAAAAAAAAAAAAAAGAAAAACGCTGATTATGATGCACCTATGCAGAGTCAGAGCACTTAATGGAGGTGATATTTGCCGTCTAAGGAGCCAGATCTCCAACATCAGGGTCAGCTGACCTTCCAGATCGGCTCCGCAGTGACTCAGCCGGATGGAGCCGCTCCCCCACCTCCCGTTGCCTCATTAGGGAGCAGAAAGACCCGACTCACCGTAAAATAACACACTCAGCAGGAAAGGCGCGCAAACATCCTTCAGACACACACATCTGCTCCACAGGAGCCACAGGAAGCCCTGATGACCAGCAGCAGCTTTTAGGGATCACTCCTTTAAAACGGTTTAAAAGTTTCAGCTCCGCTTTGCGTTTTGTTCACTTAAATGTTTGAATTTCCCTGGTTTGGGTTTGTAATTAAAATAAAGAAGGTAAATTACAAAGAGTCACCTTCCTGAAATAATTATTTACAAAAACACAAAATCCTACAAAAGTATTTTTGGTTTAGTTTCTAGTGCAAATATCTTAACGTGCTTTAAATGAGACAAACTGAGTTAAAAATCATTTTTCAGCAACAGATGGAGGCTTGTGTGAAGTCAATAATTCCTTAATATTGGTGAAAAAGTTATAGTTCTAGTGGCAGATAACTTAACTTAAAACAAATATCTTGCTAACTGTTAAATAATCTGCCAATTGAACTGGAGTTTTTTAATCAATATTAAGGAATAATAGTCCTTAAAAAAGCACTTATTTAAAGTGCAATTAGATATTTGCACTAGAAACTATACCAAAAATACTAGATTTTGTGTTTTTGCACTGCACTTTTAGCAAAAACCAGCTATTCTTTTAGGAAGATGATGCTCCTTTCACCAAACTGTGAATATATCAACTTTTTAATCTGATTTGTGAAGTTTGGATGAACAAACTGCTAAGTAAGCATCAGATTTAATCTGGTTTGTTTTATTATTTGTGAAAAAATGAGGCCTTTGTGTTAGTTTATGTGACCGAAAATGAGGTCAAGTGACACGTTTACAAGCAAAAGATTATTTTTTAGTGCAATAAAATTGCAAACAACACTGAAAATCCTCAGTTTAGTCCCAAATATTTTAACATAAGCCAATTATATTAACTCTACTTTTAGATTATCTTTGTTCCATCTTATAATTTTTGCTTTCTGTACAGAATGGTTGATTATTTAGTTTCCTCGTTTTCACCATATCAAAAATATTTACACAACCTTCAGCGGATAAGGAATGCGATATCGCCATGTCAACTTCAAATCTCTTTGTTTTAAAACAAAGAAAGTCCAATAGAGGCACTGAGAAGTGGAGTAAATTTTAAGAAGAAAGGTGAGGAAAGAGCAGAAAGACAGAGGAGAAGAGGCAGAAAAAGCCGGAGCCTACCGTCGGTTCTGGTTCGGTTGAAGTCGGATCTTTGCTGCATCAGCGCAGAGGCAGCAGCAGAACATGTGAGCATGTAGAGCCGACTGAAAAGCCGTATTATTTCCCCTCCGCCCTCTCTCTCCTTCGCTCTAAGTGAGCGCTGCAGAGCTCTCACTTCTGCTTTGCTTGTCAAATCCCTGCAGGATGTCTGTGTGTGTGTGTGTGTGTGTGTGTGTGTGTTAACATAAAACCACTTCCTGTGCTGCGAAACTGAAACAGAGAATTGGGAGGAGCTAAATCTAAGACTTTCTTACAAAAAAAATAAGAAAAGCAGATATATTTCTGTGTTTTAAAGAGCTTATGTTGTAAAAAATGCATTTTTAATGTGTGCTAAGTATATTTATTCAATTTAGATGTTCCCAGTTTTAGATGATGACGTTTCAGGAAGTGGTGATTCAGTAGGATGTCCTCTGAGGGGAGGGAAACGGGAAATGATGCGGCTTACCTTTTCTAAATCCAGATCCACGGAGCGCGGCCGGAGCTTGATGGGCTGGTCTTTGAAGATGTTCCCGAAGCCAATCCCCTGAATCTGCAAAAGTATGCAAGAAAAATGATCAATTCTGCTCCTAATTTTTAATGATAAATAGCTAAATTAGGCGACTTCTGGAGGACAGTGGTCTTTACTTGCACTGCAAAACCAGAAAGTAGTTTTGGTTTAGTTCCTACTCCAAATATTTTAGGACACTTGAAATAATACAAAACTAGCAGGATATATGAGCCTATTTTAAATAAATAAATAAAAATAATGAGTAAGATCAGTGTTTTTGCAAACAGAAAATATGAAATTGTAATTAGAAGTTTAACTAAAATAGGTTGTGTGGTGGAGAAACGGCTCCTTCTCACCTCCCACTGCTCAGAAGATGAGCAATATGAAAAATCTTCATATTGGTTAAAAACGCCAACATTATCTTGGTTTTTTCACAGGTTTCAAAGACTGTTATTGTAAATATATTTACAGAAAGAGGATATTTATGTTTATATGTATATGTTATGTGGGTTCCTGTTTATGGTTTATGAGTTTAATAATGTGAGAAAACCACAATTTTCAGTTTATTCAGTCAGTATTGATTCAGCTGACACAAAAAATGTAAATATAATGATGTGATTCTTGTTTTAAATTTGGCATATTATGAACATTTTTCTCCTTTATGTTATGGAAAGACAGTCGACCATCTTGGTACAAGAAAAAAAAAAAAGTAAAAAAAAAAAAAAGGAAACTGCCTTAGAGCTACTAACATCCACAGCCTCCCTTTAGCTTGATGCTAATGCCAGCTGGTGTCAAAGAAAAAAAAAACGGTGCTTCTGGATTGGCGAATTCCAGCCAATAGCGCGTCAACTAGCATTGCGGCTAGGTAGCTTAGCTTCCCAAGCTGCGTCTTCTTTTGAATATTTTAAATACATGGTAAGAAATGATCCCAAATTAATATGTTGGAGTTACATTCCACAGAATAATCCACTGTAGTCTGTTTGATGTTTTCTGACCTTATTTGTGTTTTTGACTTTGAAAAAATAATTGACTTTTTACCTTCTTAGGTTGGATTTCTGACCCTGATTCTGACCGACTGTCTCCTCCGTCGCTTTCACTGCCGGGGCTGTCTTTACCTGAACACACAGAGACAAAACACAGAGTTATAAAACTGCTTCAAAGGCTGCTGCCTTAATGAAGGAGGCTTGGAAAATATGTTTTCTTAAGACTCACTGGTGCGGCTGTGGCGGATCTCCTCCTGCGAGTTGGGAGTTTCCAGGGAGGGAGCGTCCGGATCTGTCAGGATCTCTTTGGTGAAATTGGAAGGAAACATTCCAATCTTCCCATGAAGAACCCCTTCCCACCATCCCTCCTCCACCTAAACACCAGAGAAACCCAAAAACAAAACCCCATGTGAGGCGTTCAACTCTAAACAGAACCAGATTTTAGGTTTATCAATAATAGTTCATTATAGTTTAGTTTTATTTCATTGTGACCTTTTTGTTTGTCTAATTCTGTTTTTTCTTAGTTATGAGTTAAATATTTTTTAGTTTGAATTAGTTGTAATAGTTTTAGTTCTTTCATACTAATTCTTAGGTGCAGATTTTAAATAGTACTGTATTGTGATTATATATACATACAATTGTGTAATAAATAGCAGGCAGAAGATTGCAAAGAAAGAAAAAATGAATAAATAAATAAATGCATATAAATAAGTAATTATTGAAAAGGTGATTAAATAAAGAAGCCAATTAATCACATGTTTATTATCAAATGATTAGTTTATTTAATTTTGACTGAAATGCCTCTAAATAACAACACTGTCAACCGATCCGAACTAATCGAAAAACCTGTTCCCCTCCTAGCCTGTGGTGGCGCTGCACCAAGAACCACTGAAAGAAACGACATGAAAACCTCTGAAGAAGACCAGAGGCAACTTCCTTCTTAACAAAATGTAAACAAAAATGGAGTAGCGTCGGATTTAAGCGGTAGCTCAGTTGAATAGTAATGAGGGAAAGGAAAAATACTGGATTTGGAGAATTAGGAATGGAAATGATGAGTAGTAAAATGCAGGACACGAAAGTAGTGCCACAAAAACAAAAGAAGAAGAAGAAGTGGCGACAGCTTTTAGAGGATTTATCTTTTGTAAAAAATAATAAAAAAAAAAAAAAACACACAAGCCTTTTCTCCCTGTAGCGTTAGGACTGTGACGTTTGTTTTAGTCGTATTTACCCAGAATGCCCTGCGTTGTAGTCTGCTTTCTGAGCGCTCTCCAGTCCGCTTGGCATTCACATATTAACGTAGGAAGTTTTTAGGCGGACCAGAGTTCACTTTTAGGTCTGAATCAGAGTTCGATTACGCATTCACACACCCCAAACGAACCGGACTTTCCAGACAAACAAACTAGAGTTTGATTAAAGCGGCTGCTGTGAACGAACCCTTAAACTCACACATAATCCAGCAGAGGTCGCCATATCTCCATGAAACGATCATTACATCCAAGCTGATTTTTTCTATTAGTAGAATTTTACAGTTTCTTTGTAGCACTGATTTACAGCGGGAGACTTCTCATTAAACCAGTTCAAAAATGCACATCTATCGGCTATTTAGTGCAGTGGACCTTGTTTTATGCAACCCTAGTAGAAACTGATCTCTATCTGTACAATTTTATTATTGACTTAACTTCCTTGTTTACAGAGTCAGAATGTTGGGATTTTTCGATGATGACTTAAGCACTGTTTGCTGTTTTGATCAGAAAGAAAGGCGTTCCGAATGCATTTTTACGTTTAGATTGAAGAGAAACTGAATTAGTTAACCAAATGCAATCCTTCTGACATTGCTCTTCTTCCATTTCCAAATAAATCGTGAAATGTTTTGAAGGTACAGAAGCAGCAACAGGATGAAGAAAATCCAGTAAGATGTTAATTTTGATTAGATTTACAAAATATGTCTTTGACATGGGTGCCAAAACGGTGCAGGATCCTTTTTATGCTTTTATATTTCTGAAATTTTTCATCTCTTGTTAAAATCTTTAAAAGAAGACTCACCTCTGCGATGATCTCGATGACATCTCCGACTTTCAGCTCCAGTTCGTCTTCATGCTGAGGTGCATAGCTGAAGGAAGCCTTACATCTTCGCTTTCGGATTTGCTCTCCTGCATCAAACCCAGTAATAAACTAATAAGAAATTAAATAAAAACCTTAATTAGACGCCTGACTCTCTGTCTGAACTTATCTGACCCCATTACACTTCCTCATAGCCTCGTGGTTGTTTGCCTTTCATCCATTAGCCTCATTACTTTTGACTCTCATTTCACATCAGCGAGGGCAAGCAGACCTGACCCTGCAGTTCCTCTACTTCACCACATGGTGTCACTATTGTTTATCTTTCGCTCAGTGATAAAGCATCAGCAGTTATGCACAATATGAAGAAGTGTTTATCACCAAAGATTAAAACTATTCCTAGGGATTTGTTTTTGTTGCTTTTAATCAGCGCATAGTTTGTTATTTAAACTATATAATGACAATGGCTATTTAACGATAGAATAAACCTACCAGTGCAGTTAATTGTCCTTTATTTAAATTCATAATTGTGTTCTTTTACTTATTGTCACACAGTGAGACTTTGTCGCCATAATGCAGCATTTAGAAACTGTTTTTACACCTTTTTATAGTCGTTTTGTCTGTCGATGGATGGATGAATAAACTGGTATATGGTCAGACGGATGGAGGAAGGGTGGATGGACGGGTGAACACATGGATGGATGATGAAACAGGCTGAAAGACGAATGTATGGATGAATAAATGGGTAGACAGATAGATGGATGGATGGATGGACGGATGAATGAATGTATGAATGGATGGAAATAACTCCATATAATTTCATGTAATTTCAGTGTTTCGTTAAACCCAATCAGCCTGTATGTTGGGCTCATCAGCGTTGTGAAGTAACTGGACAGATCGTCTTTCATTGTATTTTCCAGCCCCTCTTTGCTTCCTGCAGTATCTGTATTCCTGCCAGCAGCAGAGCGGTGAGCAATCCTTGACCCAAATCCTTCGTTACGCTAATAGGATCAAAGTGTGAGCCGGCAGACGTCAGGCTACCTAATGATGGCTGCGCACCTTTCTTTCCAGGTCGCACGCTGGTGTCCGAAACTGGGCTGGCCCTGCCGTTGGAGAGCTCAGACTTAATCATCCCCGCCTGCCCTCCATCTCTCTTCCCTTCCTTCTTTAACTCCTGCGAAGGAAAACAGAGGAGGAAACTTAATGAGTGCACCAGGTCTTGATGCTCAATTCAGATTATTTTTTGTTTAAATCTGTTTTTTTGGTCATTCATTCTACAAATTAAACCCGACATAATGAGCCTTCTGTGTGAACGGTTTACAACCCCGCAGCGAAGGATAGCAGAAACGTCACACAAAAGGCGAATGATTACAGAAGTAATAATGGATAGAGCCATTTAAAAATCGATTTTAAAGTTCATTCACAAATTGGAGCCGACAGTATCGTCACAAGATCATGAAATCATGAAGGAAGCTAATTTGTTCAGCCTGATTTACTGCAACGCACATCATAATTCTGAATAATTCAAAATTCTGAATGTACATGAAAGCAACGTCACAAATCACTGACATAAAAGCCGGATAAAATCCGACATCAGATTTCACTATAGTAAATTTTGCTGGACAATAAATTCTCCCAATAATTAATAATGTTGTTTCGAGATAATAATTGTTTTTTGGCAATAAGTTAATAAAACAAGCCGTTTCAAGAATGTAACATCACAAATCAGCAGGCCCTGACCCTTCACCTAGTAACCCCGGTGAAGTCCAGTCCATTGCCTAGCAACCCAGGCCAAGCCCAGCCCGTCACCTAGCAACCCAAGTGGAGCTCTAACTGCTTGGTCAAGAGCGGCTATACCAGTAGGTCTATCCTTTTAGGATATTTAGTACCAAATATGGATCGGATTTTTTTTTTTTGGGGGGGTGTAGGGGTGAAAGATCAGGATTGGGCCATTTAGACCGCGGTGAAAAATCCAGACAGAAGTCGCATTTGAGGAAAAAAAGCGGATGTGTGTTGCACTCGCCTGCTGTGCGAACATAGCCCAAGAGTTGGAGCTTGAGAAACGAAGTGTTTATCTAAAAAGCGGCTTATTAATTCAGGGAAGCTATCATCAAAACTGCAGTCCTTTCCTCTCTGTGTTGCAAGGAATCACAAGACGGCATGAGAAACTGATTAAAGCCCAGAGAAAGGCAAGCGGCCTAAAACAGCGCGACGGAAGACAAGACATCAAACAGGGGAGACACAGAAACCTTCAAACATGGTTGAAGGAAAAACAGACATGATGGTTCACATCTTCCCACCACATTCATCATGACACTGTTTCGTAAGCTCTGGCCTGTGGCGAGCGCGGCTCAGTGAAGCAGACGGGAGCGGGTAGACTGACTCACCGAATGCACACATCGGGTTGTGAATCTCATGGTGTGGCATTAAAGCCCTAATGAGCTCCTCAGATCCAAAAATATTAACGTGACAACATGCTTCTTCAATAACAGACAGAGGAGTTGTCGAGGCTGACAGGCATTTGGAAAATGATGATGACGTTGGGGTTTGTTTTGTAGAAAATTTGTTCTTTTTGTTGAAACTACAAACAAAATAATTTGCAGTCTGTGGAGAAGAAACTCAAGCTTCCTACGGTGAAGACGCCAGTTAAAATCTGACATATGGCTGATGCGCTCCTCTTCCAGCAGGAAGTGGAAAAAAGTAAGGAGAAGAAGAAAATACCATCTTGGACAAATCGATAGACTTCTTTCTAAATAAATCCACAACTACATACAATAATTTCTAAAGATCCCATTAGATATTTATCAAAAATGAATAAGAAATAAGGCTGTTAGCTAGTGGTAAACATGCTAGCCAGCTTATAAACTTCTGATTTTGAAAAATGCTCTTGTTAGAACCAAAGGGTGATAGACTTGTTTCAATTTGGGGCCCGGATTTCAGCATTTGTTACATTTTTAGCTGGTGCGGTTTGCTTTCACACTGCACTGTGCAAAGTCTATTCTCTTCTTTGTCTCAGATTTCTGTGCATCAGTGTGGTCAGGGGCCTCAGTACGAACAATACGGAAACTACAAGTGGTTCAAAATAAAGCAGGTCGGTTTGCACTATGCTTTCAGTAGTAATGCCAGCATATTAGATTACCCTGACTAACGGTTGAATTTATTTTTTAAATATTACTCATAAGGAACGTCACTTCAAAACAACCAAAGATTATACACTAAATTATTTTTTAGCACTAATGAATATGATTATCAAAACAGACATGCAGTCAAAGTTCGATGTACGAAAAGTTTACACAAATTCTTCGAAGATGCTGGCGTTATATGGAACAACATTCTGGAAGCTACTAACTCACTCACTTGCTCAATGGTTACCTAGCAACTCACTCACTTTTTGGTTGCCTAGCAACAACTTGAGTGGCTTGCGCAGCAGCAGTTTTAGGTTTCGCCACTGTACCTCATAACTGCTTAAAAATGAAAAACGTTGTGGAGTAAAAACTGTCGATAAAACAGGACAGGTAATGCCACTAGTTTGGCAGTAATTCTGTTAGTTAAGTAAAATGTATCAATAGTTATCAACATTGACAATTATACATATGAACTGACATGAAAAGCTTATGTAGTGATATGATTTTCAGCTATATTGTCCACCCTTATTGGAGATACTAAACTTTAAGAAGTTATTTACAGCAAAAACAGCTACACTGAATGATTTTTCTTTGTGTTATACTGATTGTAAATGTTTTCTGTAAGTGTGTTCCTTGATATAATGAAATTAATGTCCTTTTTTCATTATGGTATAATTTATTTTTGATCCATAGCTTCTATTTTGCATCCGTTTATGATGTAGTTACTTTAATTTTAAACTTGTTTGTCGTTTTTTTGTCAATGTTGAACCACAGGATGAAGGAAGGAACAAAAGCTAATGGGATCCAAATAAAAAGGAAGAAAGAAAGAAAGTAAATTAGACTGTATTTAGGATTTGCTTTCATCCATAGTGACCTCAAACTGAGGAACATGTGGTTCAGTAGTTGATGACTCAGTTCAGCGAACATCCAACAGAAGGAAGACCGCATTGCCTCAACATTTACCGTGACCGCATCCACTCTGGGAATATTAGTTTTTTTCTTCTTCTTTCTAGTTGAGCAGTAAGAAAGATCTGAAACAAGACTGCAAAATGTCATGAAGTAATCTTTGACCACAGAGGTCAAATTAAAATGGCAGCCTTGAATCTCATTACGGCTTGTTAAGAAGGCTAATGCAGCACAGAATCAATGTACGGTTCAGCCAGCAGCCATTGCAACAACAGGCTCAGATTAATTCAGAAACTTACACTCACAGACGGACAGCTGAAAATAACTCCCTCCTGAGATGGAGAAACACCGGGCAGCCCACGCAAACACACAGCAGCCATTTGTTAGTCTACAGCTTCCTCTGTTTTATGAGCGGATATGAGCGAGGCAGTGTTTACGTGGCGTTTTCTTCTTAAGAAGAGATTAAATATGAATAAAGAATAAAATCAAAGAGCTCGTTCGTGTGTGAATAATTCATTTTTTTTTAGCTGATTCCACCTCTGTTCGAAGCCTTTGTGGCAGATTCCTGCACAGCTGCCATTCCTGCTACAGGGATGTGGAGGTAGCCGTGAGTTAAAGGAAACCCAGCAGAAAAAAGGAGAGGAAGAGAATGTGATTCACCATATCTGAACAGGAAACACCTGCATTATGTACACTGCTGTGTTAGGGTCAGTGTGTGTGTGTGTGTGTTTGTTTGTATCTTTGAAAGCCTAATAGAAATCATGCCCTCTGAATGGTCAGCATTGTGTTTCCCTTACAACCAGACCTTGTGTCTGTTCTGCAAAACAGGGCACTGAAATATTAAACTTTCCAGGATTTAAATACTAGTCAACAACAACAAAACAAACAAGATCCGGGAAACGTACGGTTAGAAAATACTTGCCCTGTTACGGATTTCCTTCAGGGCAACAAGATAATTTAACATCAGACAAAAAAGGAGCTTCTAAATGATTATTTTATTCATTAAGGGAGTTTTAACACCCTTAATCTGGTAGACTCGGTTTGATTGGTGACCAAAATTGAAGCATTGTTACATTTTCAGCTTTCACACTGCGCTGTGTCAAACAAACCAAACAATTTGAAAAATCTGTTCCCCTCCTCACCTGTTGTGGCGCTGCACCAAGAAGCACTGAATGCAAAAATCTCTGAAGAAGAATTGAGTGCAACTTTCTTCTTCATGAAATGTAAACAAAAANGAAGNGGTGCCAGATTGTAGCAGTTGTAGGATTTCTCCTTTTTCTCTGGTAAAAAAGACATTTCTCCAGCTAACGCTAAAATCTTACGCTTGTTTTGGTTGTATTTACCCAGAATGCCTTGCGCTGTTGTCCACTTCCTTAGGCAGATCAGAGTTACCTTTTTTGGTCTGCATCTAAATTAAATTGCACATTCTGACCTCCCAAAATGAACCAGACTTTCTAGACAAACAAACTAGAGTTTGATTAAAGCGGTCTGAATAGTGCTGGGGGAAAAAAAAAGAACATCCAAATCAAACTGGTCCTGTGTGAACATATATTCCCCATGCTTTTCTGTTATAAGCTGATGCCCTTTCCTTTTTTGGTTCTCACTTAGTTCTGCATTTGAACTACTTTGGGTTGTTTATTGTTGTCACAGAGGGAGTTCCGTACCACTTCACTGCTGTGTGTTGAGATTCTCAGTTCCTTGTTCACTTCTGTTCTTTGTTTATTGGTTTAATTAATGTAAGTGCTTATGAATCATTTTCCCTCATTTTACCTCCCAACTCATCAATCCTCCCAGTTTTTTATTTTGGATTTTTGTTTTGTGTTGTCAATGTATGGTTTTATGATGTAAAATACGCATTTTGCACATTTATGTACTTCCATTTGAGTTTCTACTGCTTCTAAAAACACCTTGATGTTTTTTAGTGTCTGGAAAATGGGCCGTTTCAACAATCTCTCGATTGTTCAGTCACATTTTGCGGGTACTGTTCTGTTACCTAGCAACCCCAGCCCGTTACCAAGCAACCCCAGCCCGTTACCTAGCAACCCAAGCAAAGCTCCATAACTTTTGGTCAGCTGGTTTTACCACTGTAACAATCTCTACTTAATCATCTGCCTGACAAGAAAAATACAAATATTTTTCATAT